ACGACCTGGAACAATCCAACAACCCTATGGTCATCTTCAATGGAACGCCAACATGGCCACTGGGCGCAGCAAGCGTGGAAGTACAGGCTGGTACTAAGAGGATCAAAACAGAATTTATGGTAATTGACACACCCTCACCATATAACATCATCTTGGTAAGACCATGGTTGCATGCAATGGGGGCAGTTCCCTCAACATTACATCAACTACTACGGTTCCCCACAGAGCATGGAATTGAAGAAATCAGAGGAGATCAACTGCAAGCAAAAAGTTGCTCCATGGCAGCAACAAAGTCCACTTGCAACATTCGAGAGCCAAAAGAGGCAGAGATTGAAGACGAGGACATAGAGGTCCTAGATGATGTCGGCAAGGAGCCAACCGAAAAGAGTGAAGAGACACTAAAGAAAATCCTAGTCCAAGAGGACAACGAAGAACGTTTCTTTCTTCTGGGTTCAGGTTTAGCCGAAGAAGAAGAAAAAGAACTGGAAGATTTTTTGAGAGCTAACATTGAAGTGTTCGCCTGGACACCTTATGAAATGCCTGGCATTGACCCCGAGGTCACTTGCCACAGACTGAATGTAGACAGGTCGGCAAAACCTGTAATTCAACGAACCCGCAAACCAACGTTGATGCACGTCGAAGCAGTAGAAGAAGAAGTAGACAAACTTCTGGAGGCCAGGGCCATCCGAGAAGTTCACTATCCGACATGGCTGTCCAACACAGTAGTAGTGAAAAAGAAGAATGGTAAATGGAGAGTCTGTGTAGACTTTACCAGCCTCAACAAAGCCTGTCCCAAAGACAGCTTTCCTCTACCCAAAATTGACCAGCTAGTAGATGCAACTTCAGGGCACGAAAGGATGAGTTTTTTAGATGCATACAGAGGATACCACCAGATTGCCATGTACCCTCTAGACGAGGAGAAGACTGCATTCATCACCCCTAAAGGCTTGTACTGTTACAAGGTAATGCCCTTTGGGTTGAAAAACGCAGGAGCAACTTACCAAAGGTTAGTGACAAAGATGTTCAAGCACCTGATTGGCAAAACGGTAGAAGTTTACATCGATGACATGGTCGTGAAGACCAAAGAATCTAAGGGACATCTTGCCGACCTAAAAGAGGTCTTTGATATACTCAAAACATACCGGCTCCGACTCAACGCATCAAAGTGCGCGTTCAGAGTTGGATCAGGTAAATTTCTAGGGTATCTGGTAACGAGAAAGGGCATAGAGGCCAGCCCAGACCAAATCAAGGCCATCCTAGAGTTGCAGAGCCCGACGTCGACAAAACAAGTTCAGATGCTTACTAGAAGGGCCGCAGCCCTAAACAGGTTCATAAGCCGAAGCTCAGACAAATGCAGGCCCTTCTTCAACTTGGTAAAAAAAGCCACAGATTTTCTGTGGACGGAAGAATGCGAAACCGCTCTAGCCGACCTGAAGAAGTACTTGACCACAACTCTGGTTCTTTCCAATCTAGAACCAGGAGAAGAACTGTTTTTATACTTGGCAGTTTCAGAACACGCAGTAAGTGCAGTACTAATCCGAGAAGAAAAAGGGGAGCAAAAAGCGGTTTATTATTTGAACCACTATTTTCAGGCACACAAGATTGTGGTCCTAACAGAGCACCTACTGAAGTCCTTATTACAACAAGGAGACTTAACAGGAAGGATAGCAAGATGGGCAGTGGCCCTGGGCCAATATGACCTGGAGTTCAGGCCGAGAACAGCAATAAAGGGCCAAGTCTTGGCCGATTTCGTGGCAGAATTCACCCCAGAAACCATGGAACATCAGGCTCCGTCGAGCCGAGATGAGCAGCATCCCAGCAAGCAAGGAGAAGCCCAGCCAAAGGCAAAAGAACAAAGGAAGGAAAAACTCAGACCCTGCAGTATCTACATCAGCGATTCATTCAGACTTTTCGTCGATGGAAGTTCAAACCGTCAAGGAGCGGGGGCAGGAGTACTGCTGATATCTCCTAATGGAGAAATAATAGAACAGTCCATCCGTTTGGGGTTCAAGGCCTCAAACAATAAGGCGGAGTATGAAGCATTAATTGCAGGGCTAAAACTGGCAGCAGCAGCAGAAGTAGATGAGGTAATAGTTTTTTGTGATTCACAACTTATTGTTAACCAGTCAACAGGTGAATTTGCAGCCAGGGACGAAAGGATGTCGGCATATGCAAAAGAGGTCGTTAGATTAGCAACTCTATTTCAGAACTGCCGACTCTTCCAGGTTAGCCGAGATGACAACACCCACGCCGACGCGTTGGCTTACCTGGCAAGTTCAATTCAGACTGGAAAAACAAGAACAATTATGATCGACTACATGTCGGGCCCGAGCATAGGACCAAAGAGCACAAAGCAGCAAGCAATGTGTGTGGACATGGGGCCAAGCTGGATGGATACAATTATCGCATTCCTAAAAGAAGGAAAATTGCCAGAAGATCGTAAGGAAGCACACAAAGTCAGATTGAAATCTGCAAGATTCTGTCTAATAGAAGATGGACATCTTTACAGAAGATCCTTCACTGGACCCCTTTTAAGGTGCGTACACCCTTTGCAGGTTGAAGATTTCCTCTATGAAATCCATGAAGGAATTTATGGAAGCCACACTAGGGGCAGATCATTAGCCCACAGGGCCATTACCCAAGGGTATTGGTGGCCCTACATGCAAAAGGATGCTGAAACCTACGTGAAGAAGTGTGAACAATGCCAAAGGTTTGCACCTTTGATACATCAGTCAGCTGCTGACCTGAACCCAGTATCCAGCCCTTGGCCGTTCGCCCAATGGGGCATGGATCTGGTTAGGCAACTACCCCAGGCAACTGGGCAAAGAAAATACTTGCTGGTAGCAACAGACTACTTTACAAAGTGGATAGAGGCAGAACCTCTTGCCAAAATCAGAGATGTGGACGTCAAAAACTTTATATGGAGAAACATCATCACCAGATTTGGCATTCCAAGAGCAATCGTTGCCGACAACGGAACACAGTTTGACAGCAAACTCATCAAGAACTTTTGTGCCAAATTCAAGATCAAGAACTACTTTTCAACACCAAGCTTTCCCCAAAGTAATGGTCAAGCAGAAGCATCCAACAAAGTAATTTTGGATGGAATAAAGAAGAGGCTGCAGGCAGCAAAAGGAAAGTGGGTAGACGAGTTGCCCAACGTGCTTTGGGCATATCGGACTACGCCGAGAAGATCAACAGGGGAATCCCCCTTTGCCATGGCTTATGGCACAGAAGCTAGAAATTAATTTGTTTAAAGCATCCCAGGGATCAGAACCCAGGAAGTAGAGAATGGCACCAATGACGTACTCCTAGCCCGAGATCTGGATCTTTTGGAAGAACGAAGAGAGAAAGCTGCAATTCAGCTTGCAGTATACCAGCAACAGCTTGCCAGAGCTTACAACAAGAAGGTCAATCCAAGAGAT